GTACTAAAATCTTGATTAACCCTTATCGGTGCTTGCTGCACTGAGTCTAATCCAGCTCATGGTGACCTCTGTGTCTCAGAGGGGAATGGGGCTTTGTAGGGTTTTTTGATGGCTGGTTTTTCTGGAGGCAGATCACCAGGCCTTTCTGCCACGGCACTGCCGGGTGCACTTTACTGGCGTCCCACTCCAATGCTTAGGTAACCGAGTGCCCCAAAGAAAGCATTTCCCAAGGTGTGTTGTTGTGAACCACTGAGTCAGAAATGACCCTTCAGTTAACCCTGCAGCGGGTTTTCAGAGGGAGTTAACTGCAAAGGAAGAAACTGCTTATCTTTCTCCCACCAGAGCTCCCTGTTTGTTAAATGCTGTGGAGTCAGAACTGACTCCTAGCTGACCCTCTGGTGGGTTTAAGAGGCTGTAAATTACGCAGGAAGAGACTGCACATCCTCTGGCAGAGCAGCTAGTGGATTCAAACTGTGTGCCTTAGGGACTGCAGCATAGCTTCTTACCACTAGGCTACCAGGGCTTCAAAGTAAATCTCAGATCTCTGTGATCCAACTTTTCTGCTACTCCCCATACCCCTCGTGTCCTGTCCCTTAGATCTAGTCTGTACAGCTTTCAGTAAAATCCAAAACTGGCTGCATAGATCCCTTCCTTAACCTCTAAGGATCCAGGAAGACACAGAAACTTGCATTCTGGAAAGCCACCTTTCCAAGACCTGCCATATGCCTGCCCAAGTTCCCTCCTCTGCCTGGAGCACTTTCCTATTTTCATTAGCTTAAAAAAATAACCATTAGTTTAACACACACTTTCACCATGTGACCATCTAACACTCTCTGTTATAAGCACGAGAGAATATCAGTGAACAAAACAGGAAAACTTTGTCCTGGTGGAGCTGACATACAAGATAGGGGATATAAGTAAAACTGAACACGTCTGTACCAGGTGGTGACAGATGCTTTGAAAACAAAAAGCAGGACAAGATGATCCCAAGAACCTTGCTGTTGTTGTTAAGCCCCATAGATTTAGAACCAACCCACAGCTGACCCTCCAGTGAGTTTTCAGAGGCACTAAATTGCATGGGAAGAGATTACCCATACTTCTCCCACAAGACAGCTGGTGGATTCAAACCTCCTGCCTTTGGGATCGCAGCACAGCTTCTTAGAGCTAGGCCACCAGAGTTCCCTCAAGAACCTAGAGATGTTATTTTAAACATGTGGTGTGGAAAGAACTCTGGGTGGGGACCTGCCGGCCCCACATTTACACCCCTGCTCCTGGCTCCCCACTGCCCCATGTCCTCTGTCCAGGAAGCCCTTCCTGCTCTGCCAAGTTGGGGCCGTACCCTCCAGCATGCCCTGACAGCTCAGAGCAGCTACCCGTGCTGTGCCACCCTATGATGCCACATCCTATTCAGTAATGAAAGCCACAGCAGGGTGTCACTGAAAAAGAATGACCCCAGCTCATGATGCCTGATAAAATGAAGCTTAGAAAATACACTAAACACCCATTTGGGGGTCTTCTCACAGTATAGCAATTCTCCCATGGGCACAGAGTGGGAACCGACACAAAACTGAGTCTTCAGCAGGTTTTCAGAGGCTGTAAATCACACAACAGATTACTGCCCATCTTTCTCCCTCAGAGCAGCTGGTGGATTTGAACTGCCAACCTTTGGGTTGAGCAACTCCTTACTCAGTTGGCCACCAAGAGCTCCCTTACTTAGGATATTCAGAAAGTATAAAATCTTGATCTTAAATATACATTAAACAGCAGCAGCAACAACAACAACAACAACAAAAAACCCAATTCAAAACCCACTGCTGTCAAGTCGCATCAGCCTCAGGGTGAGCCTCCTCTGGGCTGGGGTTAAGGCTGTAAATCTCAACGGGAGGATACTGCCCTTCTCTCTCCCTTGGAGCAACTGGTGGATTTGAATTGCCACCCTTTCAATTAAGCAATGCAACCATCTGGGGGGCACTGTTGTTACTTGCTTTTGCAACTGAGACTCACAGTGACCCTATCTACATACAACAGCCCTGCCCTATCCTGTGCCAATCTTATTGTCTCTGACACACCTACCCCCATTACCCCAGTCACTGAATCGATCCATCTCATTGAGGGTCTTCCTCTCTTGCACTGTCCCTTCACCCTCCCAAGCATGACTTTCCTCTCCAAGGACTGATCCCGCCTATCAGCATCTATAATTTTAAACTGGGTTTGTTTTGGGTTTTTTTCCCCATTTCCTTACTTTTTCAAGATTTTTCCCCCCCAAGAGTGTTAATTGTGGGGCCAAGCAAACTAAAGCTGTTAATAATCTCAATCTCTTCACCATCTATCATAATGCTTATATTTGGGCACTACATTGCCATTAAAATAGGATGAAAAGTCACCTAAAAAGGTTGTTTACTAGCAATTCCAAAACCAGCAAGCTTATTTATGCTGGGAACCTCCTCCAAATTATAGCACGCTCTTTCTTCAAAGCTCTAGAGGTCGAGAGGTAAGGAGTTGTGATGTCATCTTGAAGGCATAGGGCTCAAACCCACCAGCTGCTTCATGGGGAAAAGATGGGCAATCTTCTCCTGTGAAATTAAGTTGCCTCTGAAAACCTGCTCGAGAGTCAGCTAACTTGACTGTTCACAGCAGCTTGCTTAAAATCTCACATGGGTCTTTGCTTTCCAGTACCCTACCTAGTACAGTCGTTTCCTTCTAAGCAGTAAAACTTGATTCAACAAAATCTTCGCCAAAAACATAACAAATTAGACAGCTGGAGATTGAAAAGGGACAGAAGTCAGGCGCTTCCCTGACTGCCTTCCACTCCATCATCCCACCTAAGCTATTTCTAAAGTTTCTTCTCTTTGCAACATTTCAGACTTCCATTAGGAACAGTGTGCTCTCAATATACCCATGAACTTGACTTTCTGCTCTTCCTACTCTCCCTTAAAACATCAGTGCCTTGCATATTGTTTCACATGGATCAAGTATTGAATGTGTCTGTTAAGAAATTAATTTGGGGGGGGAAAAAAAGAAATGAACTTGGGAACAGTAATACAATTCAGTACTGACACACCTAGGGTAAGCCCTAACAGCTATAATCTTGTTTTAGCTAAAATAATCAGGTGACACTGAACCAGTGCTGCAGCACCACAGCCAAACCAAATGGGTTTCAAACCCCCACTGCCCACACCTGTGACATGATCCTCTTTTCAAATGGTTAAAATAAGAATCCTTGCCTGTGGGAGTAAAGCAGGATAAAGTGTGATGAGGGATGAGTACAAAAGAAAAACTATAACCAACAACAACAAAACCCACCCAAAATTTATTGCCATTGAGTCAATTCATTGGTTTTCCAAGATAGTAGATCTCAATGGCAGGAGACCACTTTCACCCACAGAGCGGCAAGAAGGTTTGCACTGCTGCTCGTTCAGTTAGCAGGCCAACATTTAACCTGCTGTGACACCTCTTATTACTAATAAACATAGCACTGAAAGAGAGCTCAGGTGGCTTAGTTGCAAGGCACTGCGTTGCCAACTCAAAGAATCATGGTTCAAATCCGCCAGCTGCTCCAGGGTAAAAAGATGGGCACTTTGCTCCCATGTGAATTACTGTCTCTGAAAACCCCCTAGAGGGTCAGCTATGAGTCGGTTCCGACTCGATGGTACATAATAACAACACACAATTGAAGTGTGAACACATCCAAAGGCTCAAAGCTGTCGAAACTGGGGCAGGAATCCTTTCTCTGGGGTGCTCGTGATTCTACTGTCCACTCCTAGCAACATCTCAGTTTATTGGTTATGAACATCTATTTAGGAGCGCTGATGGCAAAGTCCCTAGAGGGTTGGGCAGCGCACTCAAAGGCCACGCCCCACTGATGGACGGAATCCACCTGCCGCTCGGCAGAAAACGCACAACCTCCTCCTCCCAGGAGCTTTCCAGCCTCGGAAATCCAACGGAGGGTCAGTTACGAGTCGATCCGACGTGTTGGCAATGGGTTTGGGTTGATTTTGGGCTTAGTTTGCATTTGGGGACCCGCGATGGGACACAAGAAGACGCAAAGGAGCGCACTGAAGTCTAAACCAAAGTGCGAGTCATGCCCCAGGTAAGCGGAGTAAAGAGAGATCATTCTGATCAAGGAGCGACTACGGTCCAACGCATCCAGGACGAGAAGATGGGCCGGGCCTAGGCCGGGTGACTCGGCATCTCGGCCGCCACCTCGCCCAGTTCCGCTGACCCTGCCCCACCCCATCCCTGGGCCGGGTCCAGCAGTGCTCACCATGATGGCCACCTCTGCTCGCAGGAACCGCTCGCTCAGGGATGTTTGTGCTGCGAGATCGCCGACCACGACCTCGTACAGTTATCGCTACCGCCGCCAACACAGGTTTAGCTGATGCTCCGGGACCTAACCGGAAGTGACGAAGCCGGAACCCGGGCCGGGGAGCGCCGAGACCCGGGGCCGATTGCAAAGGGGGAAAAGCCAGGCAGAGAGTCTCAAGTCTGGAATTACCAGGGAATAAACAGTACAATACCTATACCTAACTAGGTTTCCACTCTAAAATAAGTAGCTTTCTTATTCTTTTAAATCACATCTTCGTAGTACTCCCCTCCACACGAACTTAGTAACGTCCAGTCTGTGCCCGGACTACATTACCCAGAATGCAATTAGCTCTTTCGACGCTTGACTCTGAAAACGGGCGGAAGCGAACCCCACTTTATAATAGACTATAAGCTGGAGAGAGAGCTTGTGTTAAAAATATTAACACTGACATACTTATCCTACGTATAGCTAAGTTTCATTATGGAAAGGAATATTTTTCTTGCTTTTTCTTTCTAGTAGCTCTTCGTGGGTGGTACCAGCCCACTCTCCCCAAAGTAAAAATGTCCACTGAGACTTGCGTTTCTGGGTAAGTGGAAATCACAGTTGAAAAGGCAATCGTGTGAATGGCTGCTGTACTAGTGCCCGCCCCCTATAAGACCCAATCAGAAAGGAGGAAGGGCTGAGCCAGGTAGCTATTGATTGGCGGCCTCCGGTCCAATGGGAATAGCACTACTTTGGCGGGACTCTTGACCACCGCCAGACCCCCCGGTGTCACAGTTCTAGTGCAAAGTGATCGGCCACCCGTGGACATGTTCGTGTCCGATTTCCGCAAGGAATTCTACGAGCTGGTCCAGAGCCAGGTGAGCCTCAGTCTCTGTCCCTTGGCCTCGATCTTGTCAGAAGCTGTGGATGAGAGGGAGCTCCATGACTCTCCTCGCCTAATTCAGCCTGCTTTTTTTCCTTCCGACAGAGGGTCCTTCTCTTTGTGGCCTCCGACGTGGATGCTCTTTGTGCCTGCAAGATCCTTCAGGTGAGCTCCGCAGACCCTGGAGCGGAGGGGCCGAGGTGGGAGGTGAGGACGGGAATAGAGAGGAGCTCCTCCCAACTCCCCGATGAACAGGGGCTGTGTGGCGAGGGCTGGAGAAGCCACAGCTGAAACCTGGGAGGTCATTTCCCAACCTGGAGGGTGAGGAGTGAGGATTAGCCAGAAGGCAAAGTGGTAGCCGATGTGTTTGCAATAACGTACACAAAAAATAGTTGCATCTGTGTGGAATGTAAGATTGGTAGCAGCTAATGAAATGTGGCATTTGAAAGAAACCGATCTGTGACAACTGAGGGCATGTTAGTGTCCTAAGTGATGGTGGCTTAATGGTAAGGATGCACTGCCAACCCAAAGGCTCTTGGTTCTAATCCCCCACCTGGCTCTGTGGGACAAAGACAGACAGACAATCTCCTCCTGTGTGATCTGCATCTGAAAACCCGCTGGAGAATCAGCTGAGTCGGTTCTGATTCGACCAATAAAATAGTCTTTTAGAACAGTCTTGTGTTGAATATGACAAACCATTTACACTGATTTTGGTCGGGTCCAGTAGAAGCCCTAGTGACATAAAGCAACCTGAGTTGCCAGTTGGTGGTGCAAATCACAGGAGAAAGAAAGAAAGAAAGGCAGTTTCTTCCTGTAAAGATTTACAGCCTTAGAAACTGAACAGAGGGGTGCTGTGAGTCCTGTTCGACTCACTGGCAGTGGGATTTGGGGATCAGTCCCTTAGATCAAGAACTTAGCACCAGATCTGGAGGTAAGATTAAATTTTCCACCAATGTATGCAAAAATGGACAGAGTGCTACAGTGAGTATTCACATCCCAACTACCAAGTTTCTCCCATTATCCTTTTCCTGACTTTGCTCTGGAGTCTCTGGGGGTACTCACAGATACGCACTCGGCTGCTAACTGAAACCTTGACAGTTGAGTTCACCCCGAGATACCTCGGAAATCCAGCCAGCTCGTTCCAAAAAGTCACCCTCTGAAGACCATGTGGAGCACAGTTTTACGCTGGTACATGTTGAGTATCAACAAGTTGATACAAGTTGGATTAGCTCTTTTGATCACATCATCCATTTCCCCACCTTCTTTATTTGGCTTCCCGCCTCCCTTTGGTGAATTAAAGAGTAAATTGCAGACTTCTCTGGTGGCTAGTCCCTAGCGAGTTTTGCTGTTAATGCAAAAGCTGCATATCTCTCGGGGTTCAAATCCACAAAAGCTGGGCAATCTCCTCCCTCTGTGATGTATAGATTTGCGAACCCTATAAAGTGTCTCTATCACTCAGAACCAAAATGGTGGCAGTGATTTTAAGGGATTTTTTAGTTAAATAAGACTTTGAAAATGTCTCTCCTTTACCCCCCAGGCCTTGTTCCATTGTGACCATGTCCAGTACACGCTGGTTCCAGTTTCTGGCTGGCAAGAACTTGAAACTGCATTCCTTGAGCACAAAGAACAGGTATGAAGCTGTCTTACACACAAAAGACATTAATCAGTTGGGCAATCTCCTCCCATGCGATTTACAGCTTCTTGAAAATCTGCTGGATGATCAGCTGTGAGTCAGTTAAAACTCAGCAGCAATGACATGTCCGAGTTCGAGGACATTCTTCTGCTCTGCTACATGGGGCTTCTATAGGTTGGAGTCAACTCAGCTGCATACAACAACAGCCTACTTAGTCAGTAAAGCGTGGTGACTGAGGCCTGGAGAGACACGTTACAGGTCTAAGGTCTGTGCACACACTCTCGTAACCTTGACCCTGTGCACGAGGCTTGGCCTCAGAGAGCATCCTTGTGCATCTGAGAAGCAGAGCCAACCTTCAGGCCTCCCTCATGGTGTTCTTATGGAGATGAGATGCTGGAGTGTGTCAGAATGCTCAGCGCAGGCCAGTCATTACCATTCTCAAAGCTGCACCCATCAAGGCCTCGCCTCCTCTTGGGAACCCGGTGTCTCTCAGTAGGACAGCTTTGCCTGGAGCAGAGAAAGTGACAGACCTCCTCAATGAGTTTTACAGTATATCTAATCCTTTTTCTTTTTTCAGTTCCGTTATTTTATTCTCATAAACTGTGGCGCTAATGTTGACCTGTTGGATATCCTTCAACCCGAGGAAGATATTATATTCTTTGTATGTGACACCCACAGGCCAGTCAATGTCGTGAACGTGTACAACACCACCCAGGTAACCACGCTTTTGGGGTATACCTCCTGGGCTGGTCCCAGCCCTCAGTGTTCTCCAATCAACCCATCTGTACCCTTTTTACACCACATACAATGTTGTGTCTGGTGTTCTTGGGAAGCACCCATCTGTCTTCATGGGGGTATTAGCAACCCAAGGGCAAGAATTTGAACCTGATTTTGTCCATCTTTGATGAGAAACATAGCACTTGACCTGTAGAGGGTGCTCCTGATGTGTTTGTGGAATTCATTTGACCTGAGATGTCAACACTGGAACCCTGCACTGAGTCTGCCTTTGGCTCTCATGCTCAACCCTGTTCCTTTTAATAATGGAAGACCTTGGAGGGGTCTGCATGTAAAATGGGGCCAAGACCAGCCTCACTGACCTGGAGAGGCACGTGAGAACCAGAAAGAGAGCGGATGTAAAAGATCTCAGTGCCTCTAATGCATCTCTACCGCTCTCCCTCTTGGGCCGCTGAGTAGCAAGCAAGGGTGCAGTGAGCTGGTGGATTTTCTTCTCCCCACGTTCACCTGGTGTCAGGCCACAGATCCTCATGGAGTAACTCCTCCAAGAGAAACCCACCAGAACAGCTTTTAGAGATGGGAATATGATTCAGTTCGGTCTTGCACATTTTCATGCCCTAAAGTCTACCAGAAACAGTATGAACTTAGAGAAACGATGCTAGTTCTACAACAGAGTTCAGGCCTTTGGTTCATAGGGTCGCTATGAGTTGTCCTTGACTTGACAACACTTAACAACAACAAAGTCTACCACAAAGTCTGTCTAACCAGAAAAATGATAAGATTCTGCAGGGGGTGGAAATACATTGTGGCCGAGTTTTCTATGAAGGACACATGCGATTGCTTTTTGTCACCAACTTAGATCAAACTACTCATTAAACAAGACGATGACCTAGAAGTCCCCGCCTATGATGACATCTTCAGGGACGAAGAAGAGGATGAGGAGGAATCAGGGCATGAAAGTGATGTCTCGGAGCCTTCTGAGAAGCGTACGCGCCTGGAAGAGGTGTGTTGGGGCTGAGCTCAGGGGTCTGGCTTGTTATTGTCGGTGGCGATGGAGTTTTATTTCTTTTTTTTAAAAATTTATTATTTTTTATGCGTGTACCGTCAAATAGGATCTGACGGGTACAGGAGGAGATTGTCCCTCCTCCAGCAGAGCATCTGGTGGATTCGAACCGTGTGCCTCTGGGATTGCAGTGCAGCTTCTTGTCACTAGGCCACCAGAGCTCCCTGGAGTTTTATTTCTTGGCTCTGGGATCATCATGAGTCGGAATCAGACTCAACACCAATGGGTTTGATGGGCTGGAGCCAACTTATGAGCCCCTAACGAGAGCCGCAGTGGTGTCTGGGCGATGGGTAGCTCTGGCCCCGGTGTAGAGGCAGCATCGGTGCCTGGAGACCATTTGTACTGTAAACCAGCTGCTTCTTTGAAGCTTTTCTTTCTTTCTTTGCTTCCTCCTGTCTCTTTTGCTCCAGCTGAGTAGAGATTATTGGATGTATCTTAGAAAGATGCTCACTAGCTTTTAAGACCCCAAACACTACTCACCAAACTAAAATGTAGACCATAACTGTATATTATGCCAGTTAGCCAAGTTCTCCTTGAGTCTGTGTTGTTGTTAGGTGCCTTCGAGTTGAGTATGACCTATGACCCGTGGTGACCCTGTGAACAACAGGTCTGAACCCTTCCTTTTCTGTCCTGTGCCGTCCTCACCCTCTCTGACACAGTCAAGCCCACTGATGGAGTCACTGCGTCAATCTACCTGGTTGACAGCCTAGAGTCTTCCTCTCTTGGCCTTTCTTCCACCTTCCCAAGCGTGACATTCCTCCCCAAGGAGTAACCCCTCCTAACAATATGCCCAAAGTAAGAAAAAGATGAAGCTTTTTCTTCCTTGCCTCCAAGGAACTCTGCAGCTCTTTTTCTAAGATATATCTGTTTGTTTTTTTGGTGGTCCATGGGCTATTCAGTACTCCTTTACACCACCAGAGCTCAGAGGCATCAGTTCTTCTTCTATCATCCTTATTCATTATCCAACTCTCAGCAGCAAAGCAAGTGATTGAAAAGCGTAAGGCTTTCCTAGTCAATGATGTCACCAAATTACTGAGGAGCAATGATGTAACTTCTGATGTTTAAGGACAAAAGTCGCCTGAATCAGACGCATCTTGAGTCTATGGTCCTCCCCAAGTCCAGAAGACCCACTGCCTTGTTTACTTTCTGCTGGAACAAATGCTACCCTTTCGATCTTATTATCTGGTTGGTTCTCCTGAGGGCTGTTTCCTGGTGTTACCGTTCTCCTTAAAGGCTTGTCTCTTGTTTGGCTGCTAGTTGAGTCACAGGGATGAGTTTAATTCGAGGCTCAAAAGGTGGCTTGAGGTCATGAGTTAGCCTGGCCATTTTTATGAATGAGTTTCATTCCATGTTTGCCTCCCACTCTCTCCAGAACACCTCTGGTCTTGTCTCTTTCTGTATGGTCAGCACTGATAAGCTGGGTACCATCTAGTCCTTCCAGTCTCTGAGTCATAGAGGTTAAAGATTAGGAGCTCTAGTGGTTAATTATTTCCTTATGACTTTATTTATCCTCTAAACTGGAGGAGACCAATTGTTTAAGACCATAGTTAATACTCACCATGCCAGGAGGTAGAACATGAAGCCTGTGCATTTAAAAACTGCCTATGACATCATCCTTTGTTCTGATAATGAGAGTGTACCTTTAAAATTAACATAGGGAGTGGCACATGATAGAATGAAAGAAGCATTAACCAGTTGCATGTTAATTCCAGCTCCTCACAGCCCGTCACAACCCCTGTATGTCAGAGTGGAATTCTACCCCAACGGGGGGTTTAACGGCTGATTTTAAGTATATCACCAGGCCTTTCTTCCAACCTCCTTCAAGTGCCTCTGGGTGAACTTGAACAGCCAATCTTATTGTGAACAGCCAGACGTGTTAACCATGTGCCCCATCCAGGAACTCCTGTGAAACAGCAGCTCTTATTCATTTTGTTGAGGAAGCTATCATGAGATGACTATCTTGTCCCAGATCACGGGGTGGTGGGTGGCATGGAGAGCTTTGGGAGTTGAGGCTGTAGCAGGTGCTTGGGGAGCCATTCCTCCCTCTCCCCACAGTGTCCTCAGTTCTAAGGAGACCTGGGAAAGAGCAGTCTTTGTCCAGGAACGGATGTGCCCAGGTGTGGGATGACCCAGGTTTTCCCCCGGGTCTGAGGCCAGTGCCTCAGCCAGACCAGAACCTTCTCAGGCTGTGAGGATAAATTCTTGCCATTCTGTTCTCTTTGTTCCTGTGCCAGGAAATAGTGGAGAAAACTATGAAGAGGAGGCAGCGGAGAGCATGGGAGGCCCGGAGGTGAGTCTGTGCCAAGCAGTACTCGCGTGCCTGGGAATAGCACCCTGGGGTCTTGGAGGAACACCCCACAGCCTGGGAGCTTCTTCCTGAGGGACTGCGGTGCTACCTACACCTGCATGTTCCTCAGGGAGCGTGGGTTTGTTCTATCCTAGCGTACTTCATGTAAAACCCAGAGCCAGTGGCTTTAGAACAGAGCATGTGACCCTTCAACGGAGAAGGTTCTGGGTCACCCCTCACTCACAGAGGGAGCTCTGGTGTCCTAGCAATAAGGCGCCGCGCTGCCAACCCCAAGGCATGCAGTTCAAATCTACCAGCTCCTCTGCGGGAGAACGACGGGGCAGTCTCCCCCTGTGTGATTTACAGCCTCTGAAAACCTGCTAGAGGGTCAGCTCCGAGTCGATTCTGACCCAGTAACAGCACCGTCTTCCATGGTACCACTGGTACCACAGCCTTTAGGCTGACTGTCAGACACAAACCTCTTGCACCACCCTGGGACCCAAGGCATAGTTGTTGTTGGGTATTGACCCACCCCTGACCCTCCAGTGGGTTTTCAGAGGCAGGAAATCACATGGGAAGAGATTGCCCACCCTTCTCCTGAAGAGCAGCTGGTGGATTCGAACCACATGCCTTTGGATTGCGGCGCAGCTTCTTACCACTCGGCCACCAGAGTTCCCTAAAGGCATAGTGTCAAGACATAATTTGCACTTCTTTGAATACTATCATTTCAACATTTGCCAAAAAATGTTTGCTATATTGCTCCCTGTGAATGCATGCCTTTTTTTGGTATCATTACAGGAGAGAAATCCTCTTTGACTATGAGCAGTATGAATACCACGGGACATCTGTAAGTTTGAGTCTTCGTCATTATGTTCTAACTTTAGGGCTAAGTTTCCTAAAACACAGTAAGTCAGAGAAAGGTTTTAGAGCCGTCAGAGCCTGTTTGAATTCTAGCTTCCCTGCCTCAAGAATCAGAACTGACTCACTGATAAACGGATTTGGATTTGGTTGTTGGGGTTTATGGTGTTTGCTTATCATCAAAAAGACTCAGTGCCATAAACTATATCAGTATCTGTGAAGAAAAAAACCCATTAGATATACCAGCCTTATCTAGATGTTGTTGTCATTGTTGTTGATGATGATGATTGCCGTTGAGTTCAGCAGGACTCATAGCGACCCTATGAACAAAAGACTTGAAGCCTTTCCATAACTATCGTCATTTTCAAAGTTCATAGAGTTTCCAGAGGCATGTGGTTTAGGAAGTGGATGCCACTCCTGCTTCCTAAATATTGAGATACCCTGGTGTATTCTACCAGCCAGAGCAGGACGTGGATAGAAACCCTAGTTGTTTTGTGGTTTCTTTGTGCCCACTTAATGCTGAGCATAGCTCAGGGACTTCAGTAGACCCAGGAAAGAAACGTCCAGTAGAATCTCCCATGTTTAGTCTTCTCCCACACATCCAGTTCCTGTTGTCACGATTCCTTTGTCCTGTGAGATGTCAGCCTTTTGCATTCACTGCATCTGGGAAGGGGGTTAGGAGGGTGCTGATGTGTACCCAAAGCCGGGGCAGGTGCACAGTAGGTGCCCATCTCCCTCCAGCTGTGAAGCCCAGTCCCTGGGGAAGGCGTCCCTTCAGAGGAAGGTCAGCATCCAAGGCTAAGAGGCCTGCAGAGTTCTGTACTCAGACCCCGACCCCCGTCACAGGCTCTTACCACAGCCCTGACTCTCGGCTCACAGGGAAGCAATGCTTCCATCCAGACAACCCTCCAAGAAAGACCCTCCTCTGGGGTGATCCAGGACCCCTCTTCACCTCTAATACTCAGATAACTGAAACCAAGATGCCCCCTGGTCTGGCCTTCCTGGAAGTACGCGTCAGACCATCAGCAGGAGAGCACAGGGGAGTGGTTAGGAAGACAGCGAGGCCATCCAGACCTGAGACGTCACTAGGGGGCCCGAGTGCTGCGTGGAGAGGCCCTTGCTGCAGTGTGGTGGCATCCCCGCCGCTCTGTGGCATCCCCGCCATGCAGCATGCGGTGGCATCCCCGCCGCCGCACGGCAGAGCACACTGGTGTTGACACTTTAACCAGCAGAAGAGAATGTTCCAGCTCTTTTCTCGGTCTTGTGCTCCCCGGGCTGCTCGGCGCGAGGTCCTCCGTGCTGGGCTGGAGTCCGGCTGAGCTGAACCGCAGCGTGTGCCCTTCTGTAAGCCCGGCGCTCCCCGGCCTCAGGCTTCTCTGCTCTCTTGCAGTCCGCCTTGGTGATGTTTGAGTTGGCCTGGGTGATGTCCAAGGATCTGAACGACATGCTGTGGTACGTAGCTCCAGCCAGTGAGTGTGTGCGCACATGTGTGTGCATAGATGATGTGTGTGTGTGTGTGTGTGTGTGTGTGTGTACTCTCACCTGCCAGTGGAAGGCAGCTGGGTCCTGCAGTGTAAACAAAGCCCTGGAAGAAGTCGCCTCCCTTGTCCCACCAGCAGAGCCCAGTGTTATTCCTGTTTGTGTGAGTCTAGGTTCATACAAACTCACGAGCCAGGAAACACTTGAGGACAGGGAGCGTATTGCAGGATCAGAAGATTGGGTTCGGATGTTTCTCCCCTGCTTTCTGCTCTTGTCTCCAGCCTTACTGCTTATTCAGTTAGGATGACAGAACAAATTGTTGCTGTTGTTACGTACCATCAAGCCAGACCCGACTCGTAGCTGGCCCTCCAACGGGTTTTCAGAGGCTGTAAATACCATGGGAGGAGATTGCCCATCTTTCTCCCATGGAGACACTGGTGGATTCGAACTGTATGCCTTTTGGTTGTCAGCGCAGCTTCTTACCACTAGGCCACCAGAGCTCCGTGGCAGAACAGACAGGAGATTTAGATGCAGTAGCCTCCCTCGATGTCTCTGTAAAAGTGCTGATGTGTGGTCCACGCATCCCTGGCTGCTTCCTCCCGAGTTTGCTGTGCAGGCCGTGGCTGATGCCTTCCACACACAGGAGCAGTGCGTGAAGGAAGAGACCATTCACCAGGTGCTGTAAATGCGAGTGAAGATAGAAACGGGGGCCTTGGCCTGGCTCCACCACCTGCTGCCCTGTGACCTCAGCTCTGGGTCTAGATTCGTTCCTCCGTTGAGACTCCTTCCAGTTCTGATCACCCACCGTGGAGATCATGGTCCAGCCACAAGCAGGGCTAAGGGCTAGTGAGCACCCCTGGGGGTTAGCGCCCAGAGTCCCCTGCTGCACTGCACACAGCACAGCCAGGGGGCGCTCTGGCACGGATGGCTGGCCTTGACTGTCCCTCCCAGCTCTGGCCTCCGCTCTCAGCCTTTGAAACCTCAGATCCTCTTCCGTGGTAAGGAAGTGACAGTCCCCCACACCGGGCCTGGGATCACCACTGACAGCATCAGGTAATAACGGGCACCCACTACGTGCTCCGTGACCCTGCAGAGTCCTGAAGTAGGAGCTCACACCCTCTGAATGCTTCCACAAAACTCCACAAACTGTGTAAGAACAAATGCAAAAATAACACAGTGCAAAATGAAATAGGAGGAGATCAGTGGGAGGTGGGGCCAGCCATGCAAGGCATCTTCCATAGACCTGCCACTATCAATGGCGGTCCTTGAACAACCCTTTCCTCCCCTTCGACCAGCCTTCCAGAGCTCCCAGAAGTCTGTCCATTTGTGGGCACCTGGTAGGCATGACTGTTCTCCCACCTTCTTGTGAGGTGCCATCGAATCGAGTAGACTCACAGAGACTCTGTGAATAACAGATCTGAGCCCTTCCCTGCTCTGTGCCGTCCTTACAGTCTCTCTCACACTTGAGCCCATTGCTGCAGTCACTGTGTCAGTCCATCTGGTCGAGGGTCTCTTTCTATGACCCTCCACCTTTCCGAGCGTGATGTCCCTCTCCAAGGACTCTCTCTCCTAGCGTCGTGCCCAACGTATGAGAGATGAAGCATCACCATCCTTGCCTCCAAGGAGCGTGCTGTCTGCTCTCCTGCCTTACTCTCTACAGAGTGCCCTCAGCATGGTCATGGAGCTTACAGATGGGCTGTTCTCCACTCAGAAGCCCACAGAGGACTCATCTGGTCCTGGTGCCTGATCACACCGGTCACCACTTGTCCTGGGCCAGATCCTGGAGGTCAGGTCCCAGCCTCGGTCTCGGTTTTTTCATTCAGAAAAGGTGAGGTTGGATCCCGTCACCTGAGGGCTTGAAAAGTGACCTGAGGAAGCTCTAGTGGCAAGAAACTGCGTTGCAGTCCCAAAGGTGTGCGGTTCAAATCCACCAGATGCTTTGTTGGATGGAGGAGGTGCCATCTCCTCTCGTGCCAGTTTGATCCGACTTGATGGTACACACACACATACACACATGCAAAGAAAACTGGCCTGAAAACTGTCATTCTGTGTCCTTGACATGAACCAGAAGGAGGTAAATGGCTATGACCAGCACTTGTTGGAGCCCTGGTGGCCTAGTGGGAAGGAGCTGCGCTGCCAACCCAAAGGCACGTGGTTCGAATCCACCAGCTGCTCCGGGAGAGAAAGATAAACAATCTCCTTGGTGCGATTTACTGCCTCTGAAAACCTGCTGAACGGTCAGCTCTGGGTGCGCAACAACACGGGTTGTTAGACTCTGAAGAGCTGTTTGGTGAGAGAAGTCCTGAGAGGTGAAGGGCCAGGGCAGAGTCGGCTGGTACCCGAGCACAGGTGTGTTGAGTGTAGTCCTGGGCTGGCCCCCCTCTCCACATGCTGGGGTTGGGGTGCTGCTCAGGCAAGACTGGACCGCAATGAGTCCAAGGAGCCACCCAGATCGGCGGTGCCAGTGTCCACATCCAAGCAGAGTGCCGCTTGCCCTGGGCTTCTCGAACCTTCCATCCATTGTGTGTCCTTGTAAGCGTGCAGCCCCGGTGTTGGGAGCAGAGTGGCCTCATTTAACCCCTTCTCTCACCTAGGAAAGACTGCTAATCACCCCGGCTAACGTAACATTTTGTGGGGTCCCTGCTGTGATCACAGATGCCGAGGGGAGCCTAGCTGAGTCATGTACCCCCCCAGGTCCCTGCTGCACAGCTTATACAGGCCAGTCTCACTGCCCCCCTTTCTCCTTCCAGGTGGGCCATCGTGGGACTGACAGACCAGTGGGTTCAAGACAGAATCACCCAGTAAGGATACACTCCCTCGGGGTTCAGGGTGGCTACCTCTGCTGAGCCCAGCCAACGTGCCCAGGGACACCCCCATTGTAGAGTCCTGCTAAGAACAGCCTGGTCCTCCTCTGCCTGGACTCTTGATGTTCTGGTGTGGCTTTGGGGGGACACATATTCCATCCTCAGAGGCTCCACCAGGTGGAGCCCGAGGTGAGGACAGGACATGACAGTCCCCACAGCCCTCCTGAGCCAGCTTGTGTGAATACTGGAGGTGGGCTGCAGGGGGCAGAAGGAGCGGGGGGCACCCAGAGCTGGGCCCTGCCACCCTGCCAGAGAGCTTGGACTTGATCTTAGAGATAAAGGGACATCCAGAGGTTGACTTTTAAGTTTGCCTCTCGAGCCATGAGAATGTAGGAACCAAACCCTGGGGGATTCAGATACCCAGGCAAGGCAGGGCAGAGACGGGTGAGTGGGTGGGCAGTGCCCGGGTCTCCCACTTCCTCACAAGGTGGCCCAAGGGACCTCCACCTAATACGCTGACCTACTTCTGGGAACTAGGTAGTTCTCCGAGGCCCCCCACTTCTGGGACCAGGCAGTTCTCCGAGGCCCATTGGCCAACAGCCCCAGGCACAGTCTCCACTTCCCCTGGCAGATGGCTCGTGCGACTTCCTGCCTCCTCATCCCAGTCTGCCCCCTGCGGGTGAAGGTCCTGAAGTCCCACCAGCATGGGCTGCTGCTTGGGCATGTCATGTCCCAGCCTTCCCATCACCTCTGCAGGAGTGCAGCAGGCTCACTGGGACAGACAGCCTGGGCACCGTCTCTATCCAGTGGCCCTCGGAGAACTGGCCTAGTAAACACCTTCTCCAGGCCGCCTGCTGTTGTACTCTGTGGCACTTTCAGACTCCATCACCTCCGCTTGGGTCGTTGTCACTTCCTTGGGGCCCAACTCCTCTGATTAGTGGACGGTGAGGCCACGGCTGCCCTGCGAGGACAGTGTAGTTGCTTCCCCGGAGGTGGCACTAAGAATAGGGCCACAGGGCAGGGCTGAGCCTCCCAGGCAGCTGAGCACAGGAGGTGAGCCTCCCTGGGACCACACGGAGGAAGGAGGGCTCCCCAGTGCCCTTGTGCTTCCCAACAGAATGAAGTACGTGACTGACGTGGGCTTGCTGCAGCGCCATGTATCACGACACAACCACAGGAACGAGGATGAGGAGCACGCCCTCTCCGTGGACTGCACACGCATCGCCTTCGAGTATGAGTATCCTTGTGGTCCCAGCTGTGTGCTCTCTGCTTGAAGAACTGTGTGTTTAGCTTGTGCGACAGTGACTGCCACGTGCCCAGAGCAGGCAGCCGGTGACACCAGAGGCTTGGGGAAGGGGCAGGTATGATTGATGCCCCTGTTGGGCAAAAGTATTGGGTAGTGTGAACCGTCTACCTTGGCCTGGCTCTGCGGTATGCGTCCTGCAGGGCAGAGCCACACGTCTCTAGCGCACGCAGATGGGTGCACACACTGGCACCTGCTGAAAAGGAAAGGAAAGGAGTGCCCTAAACTGCAGTTCCCAGTTGGCAACATTTTTATGAGGAAGGCACAGACATTGGTCGAGTCGGGTGCAAGAATGCTCCGGAAGGACCTAGGAGTGGACCATGTTATAAGTCTCTGGCCTGCCTGGTGGAAGGGAGAGGAGCCCAGCAGAGGTTGTGGCGGTGCAAAGGCCCTGTGGCACGTTTGAGAGGGTGGCTGGAGATTTGACAGGGCCAGAGCAAGAGCAGCAGGCCTGTGATTCCAAGACCAGAGGGGAGGTCAAGGAGTGACCCAAGCTCAGCTCCTGTTCTTAAAAAGCTCCCTCTGCTGCTGAGTGGAGGGAGTATGAAGTAGGGAGATGAAGCATGCCGTGGGGTCTTGCTGCTGACTGGCAGATAGATGGTCAGGGGATTGAACAGTCGCTTAGCTGCCCTGTCCTGCGCTGGGCCGTCATGAAGAGGAGTGGGTATAGACAGGTTCGGTTTGAGGGGCCCCAGCATCTCATTGGAGACCGTGAGATGACTGGCTTCGCTAGGGAATGCCTGCCAGCGTGGCACGCATGCGCTGAGGGGACCACGTGACCTCAGGAGTGGGCAGCGGGCAGAAGAGAAGGATTCACAAAGTCAAGATGGCGACCTGGAAACGCCAAGGTGCTGGAGCAAAAGTGGCCAGACATGCAGGGAGCCTTGCGGCCAGCAGTCTGATTGGAGAGCTGTTGAGTGATGTGTGACCATTGTCATTGTCCCTGTGACCGCCGCGGGCTCCAAGGACCTCTGTGTCATGTTTCTCTGGCAGTTGGGGCCAGCTGTACAGTTCTAGCTGCCTCTCGGGCTCTTTATCTGAATCAGATAAAATGGAAAGCATTCCCTTGAGGTTTGCGGTGATGGCTGGTTTATGCAGGTGAGGCCTCAGGGGGCAAAGCCAAGTTAGACACACAGCATCGCAGGTGGGCAGGCCTGGGGGTGAGGGCTGCTGCTGAAGGGGTCCTGCGCACCCCCTCGGGGTGGACCTGGGAGCACCGCACTGTTCCTTGACGCCCACCCCAGCCTCCGCCTGGCCCTGTACCATCACTGGTCTCTCTACGACAGCCTCTGTAACACGTGCTACACCGCAGCCAGGTTCAAGCTCTGGTCCGTGCATGGCCAGAAGCGGCTGCAGGAGTTCCTGGCAGACATGGGGTGAGTGGTCAGCCTTGGCCCGTGAGCCCCCCTCATCCCCAAGGGGAAAGCTCCCCCCGTGTTTGTTGTGAATCACAGCTGATGCCCAGTTCTACCTTAAGTTCTTCATTGCTGGATACTATGATATTATTGTGTACCATTGAGTCAGAACCAACGCTTAGTTGATCTTTGAGCAGATTTTCAAAGGCAGTAAATTACACAGGAGGACATTCTGCCGTGAAGCAGCTGGTGGATTTGAACCACGTGCCTTTGTGTTGGCAGCGAGATTCCTTACCACTAAGCCGCGAGAGCTCCCTCCTGTGATAGTGTCCCAGTGCAGACAGAGAACTCTAGCTTGGGTGTGGTTGTGGGTGTGCTGCTTTCGTGGGGTCGCGTCAGCCCTGAGCGTATTGCGATGATGGTGATTTAAACCACTCTTCCTCTCATGACCAAGGCTTGCCCTTTCTAGCCTTCCACTGAAACAGGTCAAACAGAAGTTCCACTCCATGGACGTTTCCTTGAAGGAGAACTTGCAGGAAATCATTGAAGAATCTGCAAATAAATTTGGGTAAAGATACATTTTTCTGAACTCACCTCCTTGACAGTGGGGGCTTTGCTTTAACCACATGCCTCAAACAATACAAAAAATAAGGATCAAAAATAAAAACCTTAAACAAACAAAAAAACAAAATTAAATAAAATAAGAAGGATCCCAGTGAATGTGACCTGAGTCTGGCCCCTTTCGAAATTTTGAGTTCTCTTTACCTTAAAAACAATTCGTCAAATACTTGTAGGATTGAGAATTCTTAAACCAGGGGCCTGCAGTTCAGCCCTGCAGGGATTTATCCCTGTACTTGTCAGAACCATCTTCCATTCTCAAGCTACCTGGGCCAGACTAATGTTAGCACTGCTCACGGACGTCTTCATTGGGTTAAAATAGACCTGCAGCTCCGCTCCCCAGTGCAAACGCTAGCTGGCATGATGATCCGCTAGTTGGTGGTGACCATCCCTCTCATTCCAGAGAGGCAGCTGGTGCAGAAGAAAGTGCCCACATACCCTGGCCCCACTGTTACTGTGCTGCCCGCCCCCAGCCTCTGGGCTTGAAGGCCAGCGCGTCTGGCCCAGTTGGTCCTTTTACTGGAACGCTAGCTCAGGAGCATTGGCAGAGCTCTCAGACGTGTGGCCCGTCTGCGAGCGGGATGACGGCAGATGAGCCACCGTTTGAGGACACGCATGCCCCCGCCCCCCGCGTGACGGCCACGTTGCCTCTTCTCACACCCCACCCCTGGCCACAGGATGAAGGACGTACGCATGCAGACCTTCAGCATTCACTTTGGGTTCAAGCATAAGTTCCTGGCCAGCGACGTGGTCTTCGCCACGATGTCTCTGATGGAGAGCACCGAGAAGGATGGCTCCGGGGCTGACAACTTCACCCAGGCTTTGGACAGTCTCTCCAGGTAGTGGGCACAGCTCAGGCCTGTGGTCCCCGGGGGCCACCCAGTCATTTCTCTCACCGGCCAGCAAAGCAAGCTGTGGGGGTGGCTGGGGCGCGTGAGCGATTGTGCCCAGTAAGAACCCACTTACCGCCAGGTTGGGCCTGGCAGAGACTTTCTGCCTGTTTTTCCCATCGTGGTGGAACTGACCCCTCGTTGACTCTCCTGTGGGTTTTCATCATAAGGGAGGAGATTGTCCATCCTTCTCTCATTGAGCAGCTGGTGGATTCGAACTGTGGGCCTTCAGTGTTGTAGCACAGCTTCTTACCACTGGGCCACCAGAGCTCCACTTTCTGCCTGTTTTTTTAACATTTCAACTTTTCTCTTGAATCATCCTTGTTTCTCCTTTTTTTGTTTTGTTTTCATGTGTGTGTGTTTTTTTTACCCTACCTTTTAGATCCTTAAGACTCTGTTTACTATGTTTTATTTTTTTAGTATTCATTTCTCATTTTGGTTGGTGGTTTTAAATTTGTAGTTCTTTACTCATTTCCTAAGAGTTCCTGTATATTTTTCTTTCATTATTATCTCTTGTTGTTGTTTTTTGTCAGGTGCTGTTGAGAAGTTTCTGACTCAGCAACCATATGTTTATCAGAACAAAATACTGCCTTTTAGCTCTAAAGGAACTCTGGTGGCTTAGTGGTAAGGAGTTGGGCTGCCAACCCAAAGGCACAAGGTTCGAGTCTCCCAGCTACTCATGAGACACATGGACAGTCTCCTTCCATGCAATTTACTGTGTTTGAAAACCTGCTGGAGTGTCAGCTCAGCTATAATAAGCGAGTTCAAATGTGTTTAAGCCAGTTCGGATGTGTTTCAGCTGTCATAGCTAAGAAACTGTTGCCTAATCCAAAATCATGAAGACTTTATGCCTTTGTTTTTCACTAAGGATTTTCTATTATTGTTGTTGTGTATTGTCAAGTCAGATCCAACTGATAGCTGATCCTCCATTGGGTTTTCAGAGTCAATAAATCTCAGAAGAAGAGATTTTCCATTTTTCCCTCTCGTAGCAACTGGCAGATTTGAACCACCTGATTTTAGATTGACAGCTCAACTCCTTACCCCTAAGACACCAGAACTCCCTTCTAGCTAATACATGTAGTACTGTGTCCCACTTGAAATTCATTTCTATGTTGGGTGTAAGAAAGGCATCCAGCTTCATTATTTGCATATGGATGTCGCTTTGTCACAGCACTGTTGGGTAAAATGACTATCCCCATTGAACTGACTTAGCACCCTTGTTGAAAATCAAATGCTTATATGCCTAAGGCTAGTGGCTGGCCCACCAATGGTTCAATGGGAGAAAAATGGGCAGACTCAGAAACCACTGGAGAGTTGGCTATGAGTTGCTTCTTGCTTAATGGCAGTGAATATTCATTTTCATTTTATGAGCCTAAGGACTCATTTCTGGACTATAAATTCTCTTCAGGTGATCTATCTCTTTGTCCTAATGCCAGTATCTTACCGTTTTGACTTCATAGCGTGTTTCAAAACTGAGAAGTGTGAATTCTTGAGCTTTGTCTTTTTCCAAACTGTTTTGCGTATTCTAGACCCCTTGAATTTTCGTCCAAATTTTAGGATCAGCTTGTCAATTTCTGCCAAGATGTCAACTGGAAGTTTAGTAGGAATTGCATTGAATGTAGATCAATTGGGGGAATATTGCCATCTTCACAATATAAAGTGTTCTGAGTCATGGACAAGAACGCCATTCCATTCAATTCCATCTTCTTTGATTTCTTCCAACAAAACAAAATTTTGAGAGTTTGAACTTTCCACTTGCTTTGTTAGTGTATCCCAAAGTCTTTTATTCTCTTTGCTGCTGTTACAAATGGAATTGTTTTCTTCTTTTCTTGGTTTACTCATCGCTAGTAGATACAAATATAACTGATTTTGTGTACTGATCTTGTATCCTGCAACTTTGCTGAATTTATTAGCTGTAGTAGATTTCTCGTAGATTCCTTGGGATTTTCTCTGTGTGTAAAATCATGTAATCTACACATTATGGTGTTTTTCACTCATACTTTGGTGGCAAGAAACTGCACTGCAATCCCAAAGGCACGTGGTTCAAGGCCACCAGCCACTCCCCTGGAGAAGGATGGGCACTCTCCTCCCATGTGACTAACTGCCTCTGAAAATCTGCCAGGTGGTAAGCTATGGGTCACTTCCAATTCGACAGCACACAACAACAACAACTACTTTTCCAATCTAGATGCCTTTATTTTATTATTTCTTTTTGGTACGATGACTGTATTCATTCCATCTTCTTTTGATGCTTCCTGAATCATTCGAGATTTTGCCCGTAGCATTTTTAATTTGTTCTTCCATTCTCGCAGCTTGAGAAACGCTAGTTCAGCCCTTTTGATTTGCTGATTCCAGCTGCTTTACTTCATTTCTTCCCTTTTGTTTTGGTTCCTTTATTTTGTTGAAATTGCAGATCCTTGGTGTTTGGGTTTTGTAGTCTTACTTTAATATGGAGATTTGGAAAGATCCAGAATCTCCACCGCTGGTGCAGCTTTCTCATTCTTCGTCAGTTTCCAGCATTGTCTGTGGACTCGCTGCCGCCACAAGGAACATTCATCTCACGCCTGCACTTCCTCTCCTGCTGACACACTTAACCCTGCTGCTTCCGGCTCCCTTCTGGCTTTAACGTCCTTACATGTGGTCCTTTCACCAGTATCTCTGTCCCCCTGCTCTGTAAGAAGAGTTTCGCATTTCTGACTCTCCTCTCCGGTCCCTCTTGGCTTCTGAAATCTGTACTTTTGCATTTTCATTGTTGATGGAACTTAAACCTTGGCGTAGATGATAGAATGCATGATCTCACCCTTGACTATAGGCCAAGTCTAAAAGAGGAGAGTCAAGAAATACTTTACTGTGAAAGAAACAAGAATCAATATATTGATTATGTTACATTCTGAGACCACTCTGTTTTTCCTAGAGTATTTCAATTACCTGCTTAGTCATACCTCCATTTTTTTAGTTAACTTTCTTCCCAGCAAGCGTTCCTAAGCCCCTTTTGTCCAGCAAGAGCCTGAGCCTCAGCCTCCTGACCCTGAAGTGGACCTGTAGCTCCATGGCCTGATGGTCACCGGTCACAGGGTCCCTTTGTTTTGCCCCTAGGTTAAATCCCATGTTCCTCACAACCCACAATTTTGTCCTCTCTAGTTTATTCTCTTATTTGCTGGAACACAGTTCTCTTAACTTTCAAAGAAAGGGCACCTTCTGAGCGAGTAAACATTCTGAGTTCTTGCATGTCTGATGGTGTTCTTTTACCCTCATCCGATTGCTGGTTTCTCTTCGTGTGGAATTCAAGGTTGAGGATGGTTTTCCTTTGAATGGAAATTCCCTCCCGCCTCTATATTCTAGCAGCAGTACTGCTGAGGAGAAGTCTGAACCATTTTGATTCGTCTTTCTTTCTAAGTGGTCACTCACCCAAGAAGCTTGTAAAATCTCTTCTTTCTGTTTTCTGTTAGGCCCTAGACATGTATATCAGCGCCACTTTTTTATAGCATCCTGCTGATAGTTTAGGGGTCAAATTTGAGTTTATTTTAAGTTCTCTTTCATTCTCTGAATCATCTCTGTTTACTTCAGGGGCCTTCTCTCTCAGGCCACAGGCACTTCATGGTTATCTGGAGGTCCTAGATATCTAAGAAGGGGCTGTGGTGACCAGGCTGAGCTTACGATCTCAGGCTGGAGGCTTCACCGCATCTGAGCAAGCAGGGACATAACACCTAAGGACCCTTATCTTATCTGCTGGTGCAAAGGCTTTATTCAAGGGCCCCACTTCTTCACTGAGGTCAGAAAAGAGCCCTACTTTTTGTTAAGTACCATTGAGTCAGAACCAACCCAGAACTGACCCTCCAGCAAGTTTTCAGAGGCAGTAAATCACATGAAAGGAAACTGCCTGTTTTTCACACTTAGAATGATTCGAAACCCTGGTAGATTTGAACCGTGTGCCTTCGGGTTAGCAATAACACTGCTTACCACCAGGCCAAATCTTCACAAGCTCTCTTTCTGACGGTGCCTGCCAGGTGCCTTTGCTGGCCTTCTCTGTAGGTTCCTTCCTGTACTGACCTCTGTCTCCTGACGCCAGCTCCCATTCCCACCTCCAGTCATACCCTTATGGGTTTATCCATCTGGTATTTCTTTTCTTTTTTCGTGTTGAAGGGATATCAAAAGAGAGAAGATAAACTCTTCTCCCTACACCCTTTCCTCAGCCAGGAGCCACGCATTTCCTCTGCGGCTCTGTGCCTTTTCCCGAGAGCCCAGGCCATGCACACCCAACTCCACACATCTGTTCTTGTTACAGGAGCAACCTGGACAAGCTCTACCACGGCCTGGAACTCGCCAAGAAGCAGCTGCGGGCCACCCAGCAGACCATCGCCAGCTGCCTCTGCACCAACCTCGTCATCTCCCAGGGGCCTTTCCTCTACTGCTCCCTCATGGAGGTCGGGCTCCCCACACGCACGGACACACCCGGGCGCTTGTGCCTCACCTGCTGCGCGCCCCCTCTGACCATCCCCGTGTCCCCCCTCCCCAGGGCACTCCAGATGTCATACTCTTCTCCAAGCCAGCGTCCCTGAGCCTGCTCAGCCGACACCTGCTCAAGTCCTTCGTGTATTCAGTGAGTTCCCCTCTTGAACCGGTAGGAGGTGCCAGTGGGGGCAGGAAGGCCGCGGCTTAGAATGGGGCGCTGGCCCGGGCGTGAGAAGCTGAACTGAAGGCTGCTTGTGCCCATTTGAGAACTCTCATGGCCTAGTCCACACGAAGTTGTGCTGCCGACCTAAAGGTCTCCTCTCTCTGACGGTTCAAATCCACTAGCAGCTCCAAGGGAGAAAGATGGGCAATTCCTCTCATGCGATTTACAGCCCTTCACACCCTCTGGATGGGGCAGCTGTGGGTCGGTCCCAACTCCACATCAGTGAGGGACAGAATGAGTGTGACCGTTTGCCATCTGGAGGAGGTGGGCTGACCCCTTGCTTTTTCCTCCTTTGACTTCTCAGCGTCTTTGGCCCAACAGCTCTGATTAGTCCCTTACTGTCCCGGTCATTTGGTCTGTGAGGGAGGGACCGCGTGGGGCACATGGGGCAGAAGCTTCAGGTCAGAGAAGGAAGGCGACTGGGGCAGAATTGCCTCCCAGCCCAAGTGTGCCTCCTGGGTTGTCATTCCACGTGGCCTGCTTGCCTGCTCTGGTGGCCTAGGGGAAAGGGGCTGCACTGCCAACCCAAAGGCATACGGTTCAAATCCACCGGCTGCTCCATGGGAAGAAGATGGGCGATCTCCTCCCATTTGATTTACTGCCTCTGAAAACCCACAGGAGGGTCAGCTATGAGTTTGTTCCAACTCAGCAGTACATAATGACAGTCCACCTGCTATGTGAGCTAGATTGTTTGATTTCGGTTCCCTCATCTGTGAAATGGGTGGCATTCTACCTACTCACATCACAAGATCCATTTCTTTATCACCCATTCGCTGGGCAACCTTTACCTGCTAGCCTTCAAAGGGTGACTGGCCATCCTGTTTGCTTCCTGGGCCAGTCCTCAGTTCCTGGGCAGCTGGGGTGATGGTCATCTGCATCCCATTTGGTTCCTGGGCCAGCCCTCACTTCCGAGGCAGCTGAGATGACAGACCATTGTCAATGCACTGAGTGCAGCAGTGAAGGGAGCTCAGAGCTTTGCTCTTTCTTCTTGAGGGAGCATGTGTGCTCGTAGGAGGGCAGACGAACACAAAAAGAGGGACAGCTGGTGGAGGCCCGCGTTCCTCGTGGGGTAGGCCTCCGGGGGAGGACGTGGCATGGCTTGAGGAGTGAGGGAAGCAACAGGAAAGAGTCCAGGCCCTCACTGGAGTCACAGCTCCAGGCTGATGGGTCCAGAGCAGAGGGAGAGGAAGCAGCAGTGGAGGAGGAGGACAGGTGGGGTGTGAGCGCCTCCTCTGGGGAAAGTGTGTCCCTGCAGGCTTTGGGGGCAGGGAAAGGAATGGGGAGATTGCTGGGGAAGCTTCTGGGCAGGGGTCTGGGAGGCGAATATGCAGACAGATGGTGACAGTGAACGAGGGCCCAGTGGGTGACACAGGGACCCAGCAGGTGACGGGTGAGAGTGCAGGCAGGAAGGTAGAGCCTCAGCAGAAGGTGCTCAGAGCAGATGTTCTGCATCGTTGGGGGAGCAGATCTGGGGAGTTGAACATGCTGGGCTCTGGTGTCTCAAACTTGCCAACAGCTGGATGTAGGGTTTGAGGCTGTGGGGGCCCATGAATTTTAGAAGGATCTGTCTCAAGACCCCTGCCTTCCGCCTCAGGAAAATGGCTGTGCCTGGCTGACTTTATCAGAGTTTGAAGAGACTGAGCGGTGGGGAAAAGTCTCAAAAGAAAGCATATCCAGTGTCCTTGAGGGTCTGACCTGCCTGGAGCTAGGCCAGACACAGCAGGTCCTCCCATCCATGGCCGCTCTGAGCAGGGAGGGGACTGGGTGTGGGCCCTGTGGCAGGAAGAACAAAATTAGGGGATGGGGGGGGGGGGGCACAGCGGGGGCACTCACGGAAGTGGGACAGACCGTAGGAGCAAGCCCTGTGGAAATGGTCTGTGTAACCAGTGAGGGGATTCCACCATATGTGTACCCCAAAACACCACATGCAGGTGTGGAATAAGGTGAGGCCACCCCAGGTTGATCAGTCCATGGTGGTGTGCCCACGCGGAGGGCTGTCACCTCACGTGGAGCAAGCAGCAAGCAGAAGGCACCAGCACAGGAGCAGCACCGGGGGCCCCTGCTTGGGAAGTGGGGTGCAGTGATTGGCACAAAGCTAAGCGCAGGCCTCAGGACACCCGCCATGCAGGCTGACGTCATCACAACTGTTCTTTCCCAGAGCGCATCTCATCAATGTGTTTGTAAAATCCAAAACCCGGGTTCCCTCCGCAGCCAGTTCAGTTCCTAGTCAGTGGAGGCTCGTGTGTTGCTGAGATGCCGAACGGGCTTCAGGAGGGTTCTCAGCCTAAGAGACACTAGGAAGAAAGGCCTGGTGACCTACCTCCAAAATCCAGCCAGTGGGAACCATATGGAGCAGAGTGGCGTGATCTGCCGTCTGTTGTAAGATGGTGCAGGACGAGGCACTGTGTCCATGCCACTGTGCATTGGGGTCACCAGAGGCCAGGGCCGGACTCAGCCACAACTCGCAGCGCAGACCTAAGCAAGAGGAAAGGTTTCTAGACGTTCGAGCTGCACAGGGGACATTCTCAAAACCATTACGATCTACAACTGTAGGTCATTTGAGAACTGCACCAGTTGTGGGAGCCCTCCTGAGCCCCGCACTTTCTCCTCTGGGCACCAAGCTCTGCCTCTGCTCAGCCATCCATTCAGGGCCCCCCGAGAGCCAAGGTATTGTGTTGTGAAGGGTGGGGGTGCTTTCTTTTCTATATTTAAAAAAAGAAAGTTCTCCTAAGGGAATTCAAAAAGGAGTCTGACCGCGGGCTCCCAGCCCCCGTGACTTTGGTCCTGTGAGGGTCTGAGAGGGCGCGGCCCGCCTCTGCCAGCCCTCGTGCCAGGGCCGCTTTCTACGTGGGGTCCTCCAGCTCCTTTTCAAAGCAGTATCCTCCCGTCTGCAAGGCCCTTCAGACAGACTGGTCCCTTCTAAGACTCACTCGATGTCTTTGTACAAACTTTTCTGTGACTTTTCCTGTTTCGTTTCTTTACAGTAGGACTTCTTCTCTCTGTATGTGACAGCCAGTCAGGACAGACCCAGGCTCCTGTCTACTTTCCCAGAAATGCCACCAGACACATTTTTTTGTATTACATGAGAACACTTCCTGCATATCAGTAGTAAAGTTTCCTGATCTTGGGGGGGCTGGGGAGGGAGGAAGAACAGCACCCAGAAGTGTCTTATCCCAGAATGATGTAAAAAAGGTCAGGAGAAGGCTGAGACAATGCTGTGCCCAGGCCTCACGAAGCCCCCACCCCTCCCAGCACGCCTGTGGGAGGCGGCCTGTCCAGGGCCGCACCTGGGGGTGCAGATCTCAGCACGGGGTGCTGCTGGTAGTGGGGTGAATGACCACCATCCTTTGCTTCCTCAGACTAAGAACCGACGCTGCAAGCTGCTGCCCTTGGTGATGGCCGCGCCCTTGAGTGCAGAGCAGGGCACTCTGACCGTGGTGGGCATTCCCCCGGAGACAGACAGCTCGGACAGAAAGAAGTGAGTGGGCTGGTCCTTGGGGGGGTGGTCCTCAAGGTACGTGGCCAGCCGGCCCCTTGGCTCTGCTGAGCCAGGCGGTTCCACCACACAGCGGGCTCCGAGGGCTGTCGCTCGGCCTGGATTAGTAAGCCTGAACTGTATGTTTACATTCCCACACTGGTGACGGTCACAGCCAACCCCGTCTTGGAGGTCTGCATCTTAGAGCTTGCACTGAGCAGGACACCCAGGAATGGCCTTGCAGGGGTCCAGCTGCGGGTTAAAGGGGCAAGTGTGCACACAGCAGGAGGGAGGGACCACCTTCATCCCAGAGGAGAGGCACTAGGCAGGAGGGCAGTGTGTGGCCTAGGACGTCCAGCGTGGTCACCCTGTCGTGAACGCCAAGCTGTCCCCACGCCCGAGCTTGCCACTCTCCTGGCCAGCACTAGGCAGTGCGGGGGCCTGAGGTGACCCACTGCCTGTAGCACGCCTCCCCTCAGTGACAGTGCGGGCAGCTGTGTCCTCGGTGGACATTGATCCAGAGCTTTGAATGGCGACACATTTCGTCGCTGAGCGATCGCCGGGTGATCTGCCGGAAGTCACCAGGGCCAGACCTGGGGCACGTATCTGAGCAGGGGCGCCTCCTCTCCGGCCACCTGTTTCCGCCCTTCTGGCTGGGTTTTTTGCCCCTGTGCTGTGGTCATGCTAGTCAGTGTTGATATGAGTGGGCTGCACTCCAGCCAGGAGCTCAGGAGACCCTTCCCCTGTGACAGTCCTCCTCACCGTGACCACCCTAAGCTCCTGGTCTGCACCTTTGCATCGGGGAGGGCTGGCTATGTCTTGGGCTGTCCTGCGCCCGGCTCTCCAGGCTGCCTTCTGGTCTCCCAGCCCGAGCCCTGCAGGGCCCCCTGCTCCCTGCCCACCGTGACCTGATTCTTAACCTGAGAGACTGTTGTGTGCATCCTACATGCAGGCGGCCTGGTGGATCTCACTGGCCCTCGGCTTCGGCTTGCCCTGCCCACCACATGGTGCGTAGCCGGTGGGAAGCTGCATTCACTCAGGTTGTCCATGCGAAGACCCTTGAGGGATAGACATTCATGTCTGACTTGACTGGTTTGAGTCAATGGGTGCAGGTCAGATCAGGATGAGCCCGGGGAGTGTGGAGGGAGCGGGTGATGAGTGGCCCCAGCCAGCTGTCCAGCCAGGACCAAGAGGGACTTGTTTGGGGGACTGAGTGACAGACTGGGCCACTGCAGTCTTCCAGTGGTGACGAGCCCAGGGAGAGGGATAAGTGGAGACTGGACAGGGTCAGCGGGGGCCTGGAGGTTTCCGGGCCGATGCTAGTGCTTCTCATGGGGGCCGAGGGTAGTCGGAGGCTCGGGGCAGGCGGGCCTCATCCAGTGTGTTCCTCTCACACCGACAGCTTTTTTGGGCGGGCCTTTGAGAAGGCCGCAGAAAGCACCAGCTCCCGGACATTGCACAACCACTTTGATCTGTCAGGTAAGCGTCTTACACACACACACACACCCCGCAGCCCCACTGAGATCACCTGCCCTCCCAGGGCCAGTGCGGACCTGCTGCACCCCTGGGCCCCCCATCCCTCCTTCAAGCTCCCTCACTCATGGACGGGCAGCCCAGGGTCCCTACCATTCCCAGCCGATAGGTCAAGGCCATTTTCTGCTTCTGCAGAGAATGCAAAAGAGCGAGGCCCGTGGCAGCTGAGGACGCCGTGCTGTCGCCTACACCAGGGCCTCACCTTGTCACTCCTGCCTCCAGGGCTGGGGCACCAGGCCCTGGCAACTGTGAATTCACAGTGGACCCTTGCATGCTGGCTTAGATTAGAAAATTGTACCCAGAGAAGCCAGCAGCTGGAGCACCCTCCCATCCCCTCCCCAGTGCCAACCGTGGGCAGTGCTTTCATCCACCCTTGTCCAAAGGACATTTTCCGACGGTATCCCCTTCTAACTCCTTCACAGTTGTAATTACTGTGGTCACACACCACGCTTTGTCCAAGCCACCTTGGTCATCTTGGAGCCCGGTGTCCCCTCCAGGTCAAGTCCCAACCTTGACCCAATAACCTCGAGCTACAACCCCTTCTTTTGTGTCCTTGGTGTGTGATAAGGCTGACATCTGCCTTCTCTTTATGGGGAGCATTTGGGGACAAATTCCTGCTTGGTCCTCCGAGTGTGGAGTGACAGGACTTCCTCCCAGGTGGTGGCACTGAGAAATGGGGACAGCGAGTCCCTGTCCCCCTGTATGGATGAGATCCTGAAAGCCAAGAGACTGGTCACAGTGGGTCCCCCTCTGCCCGGGAAGGCCGAGGTCAGTGGCATTCAGAGCCATCACACCCCCAGCACAGGGGGACAGGGAAATCTGTCCCCAGTGCTGCAGGCGGGGACGGGCTGGTCACATCTGGAGTGCCCACGGAAGTGTCCGTGAGGGAGTCCGCGTGCCCCAAATTGTTCTCACTCTGCTTTCATGCCCGTCGCGGCTCCCCCGCTCGGCCTCTCCCACCTGACAAGATGTTTTTCTTTCATTACTCCAGTAATTGAGCTCAAAGCCGAGGATCGGAGCAAGTTTCTGGACGCGCTGGTTTCTCTCCTGTCCTGAGGGTGAGTTGTTTCGGGGGAGGAGGGGGCAGATTACTGGCCACATTTGGGGTTGGAGAGGGCGCCCTGCCTATGCGTACCATCCCCACATCCCTGCCCGCAGGGGCCCTCCCGCTCCACACCCCTCCCTCCAGAGAGGTTTCAATCCGCTCTCAGGCCAGGTCAGTCCTGCCAGATTTTCCCAAGACCATCTCGTCCCTGGCTGCCCACAGCGACACAATGGGACGTTTTAGAGAAAACTAATTTCATTAAGCCTTGGAAGGAGCTAGTGTGTTACCCTGTCCTGCCACACCGTGGGAGCCGGGCAGTAGCAAGTTCAGCATGGAAAACTCACAGACTTCCTGGCGCTGCCGAGAGCCAAGGCTGCCCCACAACCACACACACACCACCCCCACTCCCACCACTATGTGCTCCCTCCTATGTGCACCTCCAGAGACCCCAAGGGGGTGTCAAGATCACTCAGGCAACAAGCCGAACCATGTCCTACATGCCCCCCCTTTCTCGAATCACCACCCTCCACCCCACCAGGAAGCAGGCCCGAGCCTCTGGGGTGAGGACCCGCTGTGCTGGTGTGATCATCCCTCAGCAAGGTCCCCCCACACGGCAGAGACCCTCAGGGCAACAGATGACCCTGCCATGCAGAGTGGCACTGACATCAGGGTCCCCTCTTGCTCCCCCTTCCACCCGTGGTGAGCTAGGAGAGATCAGAGCAGCTTCCATGTTGGGGAGAGGGGGCTCCTCAGGGATCAGCAGCCCCTCTCGGGGCGGCCTGCGGGGGTACATGGGCTGTGTGTCAAGGGAGGACTTCCACGTCATACCTCTGGGTCTCTGGTGAGGGCTGTCGGGTCTCAGTGGCCTTTGGTGGCCATCAGAGCCTCGGGAGATACGTTGAGCCTGGTGACTGATCAGGAGTGTCCGGTGCAGCCTTCCCCGGGGCCCAGCACTGTCGCTGCCCCCAGGTTGCCGGCAGAGATGCTGCAAGCTCCCCTCTCCTGAAGGGCCTCTCTGGACACAGCCTGCTCTGGACACCGCGAGTGCTGCAGGGTGGCACCTGCCGCCAAGACGGGACAGGGTGCAGGGGGTGGAGTGGCTAAGATGCCCCGGGTAAGGGCTGCATGTTCAAGGACACACAGGCCCACGAGCTGATGTGTGAGAGCATTGGGCATGAACTAGACTTGGCCCCCTGTGGGGTCCTGGGGTGACACTCCACCTGGAGACAACCCCCCTCACCCTCATAGGGGTCACAGTGATTCAGCAGTAACCTCAGGCCTTGGGGTACCTGGCCACCGTGACAGGACGGGGTTGGGCATTTAGCTTGTTTAGCTGGGAGAGATGTGAAAATGGTGTGAATTTTTTCTTTTCTGGTTATTTTTCAGGGTTTGCTTTCGACAGAAATGACCTCCTTCTCCTCCTCCTTATTTATATTCACTGCTTTTATTCAGACTATAAATTATGGATAGTTTTGGACGCAGGGACCATTGATTTTTAATGAAATAAAAGATGCTTTTAAATTCTGTCCTCCCACTTCGGCCCCAGCCACAGGGCCAGCGGCAGGTCCACCCTGGGTTCCGTAGGCCCAGAGGACTGGCCTCCTGTGTCCTGGGGAAGGAAACAAGTCGGAGGGTAGGGCTCTCTTCCTCGACCCCAAGACCAAGTCTTCCACCCTGACCTCCACCTTTCAGGAACCAGGCCTTCAGCACCACCGCTGAGTGATACCTGGTGAGGACAGGCCGTCCTCCCTAACCCGCTCACCCGTCCCCGTGAAAGCCTGAGCCGGCCACCCCACAGCCTGCCTCCAACCATGTGCCCACCCTGTCCTCCTGAGACCATTGTGTGCCCCCAGCCTAAACCTGTGGGCGGGTCTGGCTTTTCTGTCTTTTAACAGGATGGGCGGTGGCACAGTGGTGGGGAGAGAGGGAGTTGCCAGGGCCTTGAGCTAGGCCAAACCCAGCTGGTAGAGAGGGTCACAGGAAGACACCATGGGCCTCTACCTCACAAGGCCCTGTCTCACTCACATCCTGGTCACAGCAGGTGTCCCCCGATGGGACTTCTATGACCTCCAGCATTTTCAGAGCTTTCTGGGACTTTCTGGGTTGATAGCTATGGGGCCAGCTGACCCCTGAGCACTGTGAGTGCTCCATTGGTTAGGAGGATACTGCTTCTCACCCGGTGTGGGCAAAAGCCACCTAGTGGGGCAGACACAGTTGGATGGGGTCCCTGGGCCCCTCGACGTGAGCTCCAATGTGCCCCCTCAGGAGGGCAGCAGGGTAGGAGGAGCTAGGCTAGAGGCGGCTCTTATCCTTTGACCTCTGACAGTCCTCCAGCCACAGGTGGGGGTTCACCATGACCTTTCCTGGCATGAGTCTGCAGGCAGCCCTGACTCCCCAGGGCCCTCAAGCACCCATCACACACTTGGAAAGGCTGGACGTAGGGCCTGCAGAGAACAGGAGCGGGCCGAGCACTGGGGACGAGCTGGTGTTAGAAGCGGCCGCACAGGGCCACCTCCAGGCCTGGCTCCTCAGCCAAGCAGCCCTGGGGCCAAGTGCCAGTGTGAGCAGTTCATGTGTAAAGTCACACCTGAGAGCTGGTCTTCGTCGCTGTCAAAGTTCTGGCCCCTGAGCTCCTTTTCACCTGAGCCCATCATACACGCAGAGACCAGAATACTCCGGCTCCCTGGATGGCCTCCCCAGCTCCACTCCCCCAAAAAATCTTCATTCAGAGATTGCCTTTCCTTTCAGCCAGGTCTCACCCTGTCCTCCGCCATTCATCCTGGCCAGCCCCTGTAGGCTCCCTGTGCTAAATGCAACCCCACATATTCCTAGCAGGGCCCCCAAGCTGGCTGGGGCTGGGGCAGGCGCCAGGCCTTCCCAATGCCAGCCCTGGAGTTGCCCCCACAGCTCAAAGCCCTGCCCTAGCCATTGGGGAAGGTGCAAATGCCTTTACTTCGAACCAGAGCAAAGTTGGAAGCAGCCCAGTTAATTGTTCTTTAGGGTATTTCTGCCCTGCCCACCTGGGACCTTTCTAGGTACCTGAGCAGGGTCCGAGCTGGCTGTCTCTGGAAGGAGTGTTATTAACAGGGTACCCCGCAGGAGCTGGCACAGAGAGGCTGATGCCCAGTCTGTTAGCACCAGGCCAGCAGGTGGGCACAGATTAGCCTTTCACAGAGCTGCGGAACCGGCAGAGGATCCCTGGATAACAGCAGCGGGTGCCGCCGCCCCCGCCCCACGACAATAAGGATGTCTCCAAGCTCAGCTGGAGTCACCTTGGCTTCACCCTGATGGGGAAGGACTGTACAGGGCTGTAGAGGCTACTTGATGGAATCTGGAGAAATGAGCCCCAAAGGGGCAGATGAAAATCATGATGCTGGGGCCCAGCCGGCCACCAAACTCTTTGGGGAGGCTGCATAATCTCCCTCAATTTAGTTTAAAGTGGCTTGGGGGGGCGGGAGCTCAATGCCCCACCCCCACCCCAGCAGGCAGGAAGGTGGACCGGACAGAGGGATAGCCGCAGAAGAGGTCACAGGACTCAGCCCCGTGGGGGACCCTTCGGGGAAAAGTTGGCGAGTGGGGGCTGAGGGGTCCCAGCCTGGACAGAGCACAGGACACAAGGTGGAGAGGATCTACACCATTTACTAAGCGAAATCGTCCTCCCTCCGAGCCGCTGCTGGGGGGAAGGCGGGAGTCCAGGTCCAGTCTCTTTGGCCCCCCCGTGGCTCGGGCAGGGGCTCTCCAATGCTGCTCTGGGTCCGCAGCGGCCACTCGGGAGGAAAGTGGCAATCGGGGAGGGTCCGTGGGAGCAGAAGCATCTCAGTCTGTTGGCACCTGGGCCCCACCCACGTGGGAGCCGATGCCCCGTAGAGAAAAGCTCTGAAGACGCGCCGTCGGGTGTGGCGGGCCGGTCCCCGGGCCATGGAGAGGAGGAGGCTGTGCTGGCGCTGCCCAGCGCCGCCCGCCGCCCTCAGACGTAGTTCTTCTTGTCGTAGTCGCCGCTGGCCGCAGGTCGCCGCGGCGCCGAGTACTTGACGGGGAAGCTGAGCTCCGGGCGACCCGCGCAGGCCCAGGCGCCGCAGCACACGAGGCCGCCGCCGCCCATGAGCAGCGCCGAGGCGGCCCAGCCGATGTACAGCGCGGCGCCCAGCTCGTACTTCTTGGACATGGGCACCGTCGGGTCGTAGAACTCGCGCACCACGATGTTGGCGAACCAGCAGAGCGGCACGAGCGCCAGCAGCCCGCAGACGGCGTAGATGGCGCCGCCGGTGAGGGCCACGCGCGCCTTGACCGGGCCCGGGGCCACGCAGGTGGTGCACTGTGCGCCCGCCAGGGTGACGAACAGAGCCACCAGCGCCAGCAGCACGGCGCCCACTGTGAGCGCGCGCGCCGCCTGCACCTCGGTGCTCAGCGCCAGCACCGAGTCGTACACCTTACACTGCATGTGCCCCGTGCTCTGCACCACGCACGACATCCACAGCCCCTTCCAGGTGGTCTGCGCCGTCACGATGTTGTGGTCCAGGAAAGCAGTCACTTGCCACATGGGCAGCCCGCACGCCAGGATCAGGCCCACCCAGCCCACCAGGCACAGAACGAGGCCCAGGATCTCCAGCGCCGCCGACCCCATGGCTGGAGAGACCCGATGGCTCAGGGGCCGCTGCGCCCGTGCGCCTGGCTGTGCGCCTGGCTCTCCACTTAACAGTTCCGCTCAGCTTGGTGTTCAAGAGTTTGTGCGCGCCTCCAGCGTGCCCCTTTTATAGGCTCGGAGGGGTGGCCTCTCCCCTCGGGGCTCGGCCCTCTGTCCCCAAACAGCCAATGCGCGCGGGGGGCTGTCGATCCACAGCCAATTACAGGTCTCAGGCGACCAGAGTTAGGGAAACAAGGGAGAGCCGGAGAGGGGAGGTGGGTATTGGGGGCACTCTGGCCAGCCGCTACTCCTTGGCCGCCACCCCTCCGCTGTGGGAGCAGGCGCGCTCTGCGGGCTGCTTTTCCTACGTGTCTCCTGTCACTTCAGGAGCTGCAGGATCCTGGGCCTGTGCCATCGCCACCGTCCCTCACCCACCCCCACCTGGCCAGCTCCAGCGCGCGTCCCTGAGGCAGGAACTACGGAAGCCTCCTCTTCTCACAGCTGTGAACTGAGGGCTGCTAGAGGACAGGGACCATCTCTCGGCCCCTCTCCAGGATTAGACAGCACAGCTCTGCCAGATTCCTCCAGGAAGCTCACCCTGAGTCCACTTCCAGCCCAGCTGCTAATAGCTCTCTCACTCTGCCTCTGAGGACCCTGGCACTACCCTCCAAAGCCATTGCCGACAGGGACCATCAGAGGCCAACCCGCCAAGCACCAGGGCCCACACATTCACTTCCACCAGGGAATAAAGTCCTCAGCTCCAAGGGGAGGGAGTGCTCCTAAGGGTCTTTCCATTATCTCAGACCTACACCCTGTTCCTATGCCAGGCTTCCCAAACCTGGGAACATCACTTGGGACAGCACTTCAGGGAGTTCCCAGTAACCCAGCCCAGTCCGTCCTCCCAGAGGCCTGTGCTGACTCTCAGAGAAGAGCGGCAAGGGACCCTTTCACCGATGGCACTGGTGCCCCTGCTGCCCTAGCCCACACACCGCCCTCCGGAAGCCAACTTGGAGTTTCCTGGCTTGGAGGAAGAGCCCCCATTCTCACTAGAGGCAGGAGGCTCGGGATTTCCGGGCATTCTTCTGCACAATGGCCCAGCAGTTTCTCGAAAGGTCCATTGGGGTAGACATTCAGGCCCCCCTTGAGGCTTTTTGTGGGGACACCAGACTCCACCACCCACAAGCGAGACAGACACAGAGGCCCAGTTCCCACTCAATGTGGGGCCCTGTGTTTCCAGCAAAGCCTGTACTGACTCCAAGGACTGAGGTTTCTGGGAGCCAATTCTTGTCTCCCAGCTCTGCTGGTCCGGGTGCTCGGTGGAGAAGGCCTGGTGCCGGGACAATCCACAGATGCGAAGCCCAGATAAATACCTCCCTCTGGGCTTGAATGCCTTCTCCTCAGATGACTCTAAGGGGTTAAATACACTAAGGCCAGTGCCTGGCTGAGGCACCGTGGGGGAGGTGCTGAAGACAGGCTGCATTCTGAGGGTGTCAGCTGGAGAGTGAGGGGAGCTCCCCTCTGTTCACTTAGCCTCTTCCATCAGGTTGGGCTCAGAGAACCACTTTCTCCCTCAAAAAATCAACTCAAGTTACTTCCCATCCCCTGCAGACCAGATGATGCTTTTCCTCTGCAGATCCTCCTCCCTGGAATCTGGGGGCTTTGCCATCACCCCCTCTGCCCTCTACAATCTCCCCAGGACAACTGTTGAGGTCTCCTTGGGCCCTCTGGCCCCTGCCTGAGCCAGCTTTATGGCAGGCATCTCTCCAAGACTACATACACCCTGCCTATAGCCTTCTGTGGCTCCCATTTCATATGGATAAAGCACTGAGTCACAGCGCTGCCCCAGCTAGTGAGCCCTGCACGCACTGGGACTGGTGGGCCTGGCAGCATTGCCCCTACATGATCCACAAGCCCCCATGCTCTCCACCTTAGCTCTCAGCTAGGCCTCGGTTGCCTGCCTATAACCCCCTCTGCCTGCAGCACTGCCCACCTGATTGGCTCCTGCTCAGCCTCTGTTTGGTTGCTGTGGTCACTCCTCCTAGGACATCTTTCTGTCCTCTCCCCCAGCCACACTCTCAGGGCCCTGAACTGGGATGACCCATTCGTTATCATTTTTCCTCACCAGTCCTCAGGACAAGTCAACAGAAGGAAATACAAACAGTATGTGGCCGTTCCCCTGTACCTGTACTGGGCAGACGACCAGTACCATGTGGTTCAGGACCCATGCATAGCCTGCCACCATCCCACCACCACCGTGCAAGCCCACAGCTCTCGTGTTCCTCTGAACAAGGTTAGCCTCCACCTATCTCCACTCTAGATGCTCCACTGTGTCAGGGGCAGCCGTGGGCTCTGAGGAATCGGTGCCTAAAATAGCCCCACAAGCTCCCCCCAGACCGAAGTGTGCTCTCAGTGACCTAGTCCAGACCCAGGAGGGGCCGCGAAAACCCACACCCCCATCCTCTCACCAGGGAAAAAGCTCCTGACCACTTGCTATGTGCTGATGAACCTTATCTGAGAAGGAGACGGGTTCCTGCTGGTGGAGAACTGACAGTGAGCCACCACCCCGTGCCTCAGGGAGCTCCTTTCAGGAATGCGATGGAGACCGGCTGGGAGCTCTGTTTAAAGAGGCTCGAGAAGGCTGCTTCCTCCATGCTGGGGACATTCCAGCAACAATCCAGTTCCCAGGCAGGAGAGAAGGCCAGCGCAGGATGCCAGAGGTGGGGAGAGGCTTGGCACCCACTGGGGAGAGAAGCAAGTCAGTGGCTGGAGCCCCACAGCCTCCAGGCCAGGGCGAGGGCATGAAGCCCTGGTTTCTCAAGCCAGAGCCCTGGCCAAGGCCGCCACCTGATCCTCCACAACTATTGTTCTGCGTTCCCAGGGGAAGTGGGGCGGGCTCTCATTCATTGTGTGAGAGAAAGGGCTGAGTCGGCAGAAAAGCAAAGTTTATCTTGGGCAGCTGTTGCCTGACCCTGCCCCAGGGTGATCCGGGAAGCCCCCACAGAGATCTAAATTTAGGGTCCGGGATTCTGGGGTTTGAGGTCCGGGAAGAGTCTAGATTTCATTTCAAGGTAAGTGACAATGTTCCTTCTGTCTTGAAGCTGAGAAAGAGTTAAAGGCATCTTCCTCCAATTTAACAGATGTTTGCCCAGGCCTCTGGTCACAGAGCATGGCTGTGCTCTTTCTTGGAGTGAGCCAGTGTTCCCAAGGACTCAAGAATGACCAAGGAGCCCCTCCCACCTTCAGCAGCCCCTGTGCCAGGTGCCTCAGCCGCTCTTTGGGGGAGGGGGCTCAGCGTTAAAGGTGGGGGTGCACAGTTCAGCCCATGCTGGAATCATTCTTTAGTGTACTTAAGAGTCACGCCAGCCGTGTGTCCTTGTAAGTGAGCTCACCATTTGAGACACCCTGCCTCAGTTTCCCCAATGAAAACGAAGTCCTTCTGAATGGAGACTGTGAAGTTATAAGGGAGATTGATGTCAATTCTACGTGGAGGCTCCATTCACCAACACAGCTTGTCTGTCTTTCAATCTTGAGTCCCTGACAAAGGGTCACTGGCTGGCTGTCAAAATCTGTGGGCAACAGAGTTGTAGTGTCCACAGAGGGTGGGAGATGGCAGAGGACACCAGCTGTCAGAGCTCCCGGGGACCTCAAGAACTCTTGCCACTTCACAGACCACACTGGATGGTGATTGCTGACTCACATTCAGGGTCCCCAGGAGCTGAGAAAAATCCAACCCAGGATTGACAGATCCCAGCCTCCCCACTCTTGTCTGCACTGGCTTTGGAGATCTCTGGCCACTTTGCTTAGTGGTAGGGAATCACAGTCACATCCCACCGTCATGAGAGGTGGAGGCACCTTCTATCCTGGGTCTGTCCAACTAACTTCCCAAGTCCATCTTCTTGGCAGAAAGAAACAGACAGAGAGAAATGGCCCCAAGTATGAAACTTTGTCATCTCTGTCTCCAAGGAGCAGCACTCTGCCTGCACTCTCTCGAAGAGCTAGCTGTTCTTTTTTTAAAAGAAAATATTTTTATTGATTTTCATATAATAGTATCTTCACAGTATATTTCATTCATATACATTGTGTTTTATACACTTCTATTTGCATTATGTTTCATGCAATCATTCATATGTATTCTATTTTGCATTTTTTATTTGTTTTTTCACACCAGATCCTTCCCATTTCCTTTACCCCACCCATAAATTGTGCTACCCCATGATTAATCCTTCCCCCCAAAACCACACATCCTCACCCACCTGCTTCCACCCCCCCATCCTCATACTAATTCTATAATAATGGTTTTATACAGTATTTATCCTTTAGCAATCCATGAGATATGCCATATTCCTCTGCAACACTACAGCTCAAAGGCATCAATTCTTCTTCTGTCATTTTTTCAGATGCATACCAAGTGAACTGTAATGACCATGTCCTTAATCAGGCACACCTTAGTCCTCAAGCTGACATCATTGCTCCTCAGTAATTTGGAGAGCTCCTTGACTGCAGATTTTCTCAGTGCAATATGTCACCTGGTCTCCTGACTGCTGGTACCAACGGTGTTTATTGTGGATCCAAGTAAAATGAAGTCTAACGTCGATTATAATGTTGCCTATCAGGTCCATTAGGGAGAATCTTTGTCTTCTTGACATTGAGATGTAATCCATATTGAAGGATGTTCAGTCTTTGATCTTCTACAGCAAGCACTTCAAATCCTCCTCAGTTTCAGCAAGCAAGGTTGTGTCATCTGCATAAAATGCGGGTTGTTGATGAGTCTTTCTCCAATCCTGATGCCACATTCTTCTTCATAGTGTCCAGCTTCTTGAATAATGTGTTCAGCATACAGATTGAATAAATATGGAGAAAAAAATACAACCCTGACACACACCTTTCTTAATTTTAAACTATGTAGTGTTCCCTTGATCTATTCACACTACAGCTTCTTGGTCTAGGTTTAAGTTTCCTATGAGCAGAGCACAATTAAGTGTTGTGAGATTCCCATTCTTCTCAATGTTAGCCATAATTTTTAATTATCCACATAGTAAAATGCTTTTG